CGCACAGCTCTGCTTTGCCGTTAAAGCCCCCGGGGAAGCGGAAGTCTCGCTGCAATCGCACCCGTAATTGTTTACCCGCTGTGGTTTGTATTGAGTCGGTGTTTCCCGTGGGGAGTCTCCAGCCTGGCCCCTCCAGTTGGGGAGGAGTTGGGCAGTGGGCAGGCCTCGGGGATGCCTCTGAAATTATCCCTTAGTTTGGGGTAATTTCAGTTGGAATTCACCCTCTTCTTTTTCCTCACCCAGGTCCTGATGCGCTGGGCTGGGGGTGGTACCGGCCCTGGGACAACTCACGTGGAACTCGTATATCTCAGTAAATCAGTGGTAAACGAGCTTTTTGAAGAGGTCATTCCACTTCACCAGGAACATGTAAACCTGAGGGGCAAACTCCTGTGGCCGAGGTGGAGGCACCTCTGAAATCAGAGGACAGAGAGGGGACAGGGCCAGGCTGGCTACCCCGATAGCCAAGTGTCCCCTCCAACTGCTGACACTGCCCTGTGATGGCCCAGGTTGCCCAGAGAAGCTGTGGCTGCTCCTCCCTGGAAGTGATCAAGGCCAGGTTGGATGAGGCTTTGAGCAACCTGGTCTAGTGGCAGGTGTCCCTGCTGATGGCAGGTGGGTTGGAACTGGCAAAGCTTTAAGGTGCCTTCCAACCCAAACCATTTTGGGATTCTGTGATAAGCACCTTGGCAATGGGATGAGGAGTCTTCATCCTCTTGAGCAGAGCTGGATGGGCTGAAAGGAGCATACAACAGTTCCCCGAGCTCAGGGAGGGCAGCACCCTCCTCCTGCATGGCTCAGCACCCATCCTGCACTCCCAGGGCAGGTGGAGAAGCTGGGGGCATGATGCAGGCAGGATGGAGCCACCATTGGCTGCACACATGAGAGTTCCTGCCCTTGCATCACCACTTCCTCTGTCACCTGCAGCTTCCCCAAAATCTGCCACCAAAAGGCTCCCTTGAGCAGCCCCCGAGGACCTGAGCCGACCCCAGCACTGTGGCTCCGCTTGCTGCCTTACTGGGCACAGGGCTGCCGGGAAGCACCAGCCAGGGGGAAACCTGGGGTGGGCTGGAGCCCCACCTTCCCCTGGGAGAGCATGAGGGTCCCCAGCAAAGCTCCTCTGAAATGGCATCACACCAGCATCCTCCTCCTCTGCCCCCATCTCCGAGCAGAGAGGTGTGAAGGGACAAGGGCTGCGTGAATCCATCCTGCACTGCTCGTAGGCAAAGGTGCCCACAGGAACATCTCCTTTGTCCCCAGCAAGGGCATCCTTGATGACCACAGGTGCTGGCGTTGGGTTGTCCCCTGAGGGTGCAAAGAGCTGGGACCGCAGGGTCAGTCCCTGACACCCTTATCAGCTGTGAAGGCAAAAGCTTGCTCTGGCTGCATCAAAAAAAATCAGATACTAACCCCAGCTCTCCCCTGACGCTCCAGTACGGTGCTTTGCTGGTGCTGAGATCAGAAACATGGTCATTTAAATTTGTTTTATTATAATTTTAATACGACTTCCCTGTACGTGAGGCAAAATTATACAACCAGCAATATTAAAAAAGGTGCCTCCAGGGCTGTTCAGAGTCCGCTCAGTGAATACCCAGGTCGCTGCTTCTCATGCTGAGCCACCACAAACCTTGTCACGAAAGCCCATTTCATAATTACAATTGTTTGCAATAAATTTGACAGCTCGTTACTGGAAACCACTTAATTCATGTTTCTTCCCGTTTCCTCATCTCCTGATGCGAGAAACGAAAACGGAGCTTGGAGATCTCGCTGCTGGGGATGGGTTAGTCCACAGCGAGACGCGACGTGTGACTGTACCATACACTGCTCAGTGCTTCCCCCAACTGCCCCTTGGTCACTTGATGGCAAGAAGCAGAATTTTAGAAGAAAATCTGATGAACAAACTAGAGTTTATGGAGTTCAGGAGCTGATTCACATCTTGGGAAACAAAGGCTTGCACCTGAATGCAGGACCTGATTTTTGAGCCATGGAGAACATCCACTGGCCTTAGAGGGAGAGGTGGTAGTAGCGTTGCTTTGGAGCGAGAACAGCAGTTACAGGGCTTAAGCTGATGGATTTCAACCAAGGTTACTGAAAACGAAGCACTGAGGGGTTAAATTTCTTAGGAGAATGGACTCTATCCTCTTTTCTGTAGTGCTTCACCCATAACTAGTACCAAAACCTCCTAGAAATTAAAAGCTGAAGAAAGGAATGTCACTCATTTTGTTCAAAATATAATGTTGATTTTTCACGGTTTAAATTTAAGATTAATTCAATCCAGAGCCAAGGGGGGGCTTGCTCATGTCACTGAAGGCAAATGGCTGCACGTGTGAAGAGCAGGACGTGCTCCAAGAGCTGTTGCAAAGTAACAAAACCGAAAGTCTGTGCTCTTTCTTCGCAGTCCGTCACTGACAGGACAGATACCAACAGAAACAAAGGGGAAGCCACAGGCCAGCAGCTGCATGAGAGAGGTGCTGGACCTCATCTAACACATCATGGTTACCACTGTGAGGAAAAAACAAGTGCTGGACCTGAAGAACACCGGGCTCCACCATCAACACCTGGGATCCTACACTCCTTGGGGCCAAAATTCCTATTTAATGGAGAGAAACTGGCCCAAGGTGCAGGATGGGCTTTTAAAGATCAGTAACACACAGGGAATAGATACTGGTCTGCTGCTTCATCGCCACAAAGCTGCTCTGATGGAACAAAAAAAAAATATTCAGAGCTCTGGTAAGTTGTTGCAATTTTATTTATTTACTTGTTTATTAGTACAGACAAGGCTTTTTAGGGCATTATCACTCAACACCCTCATAGTTTGGAAATGAGTGAGATTTTCATACAGGATCAATATCTTAGAAGTCTGGTACCTGTTAGGACTATATATATATATATATATATATTTTTTTTTTTTAATATAAAATTAAATATTGGTGCAGTTATTTTGTCAGTCTCATTTCTCTCTACTGGATATAACTCAAAATATCTGAGACCAAAAAAAGACTTGAGTGTTGAACACCAACACACCCATCAGGATTAATTACCGCAAGCCCAGCAGTGGGATGAACACAACTCACACCACCACCCCAACTCCCAGCATCCCATAAGGGCTCCAGGTCCTTCTAGTAAAACCACTGCAACCACTGCAGCAGTTTTTACTTCCTTTTTTTTCCCAGCTCCTGCACACGACG